AAAACTACAAATATTTTGCCATAAAACCTATTTTAATCGATTATTATTCTGACCTTTTTCTAAATTTATTGAAATAAATAATGTTCAAAATGTTTTAAAAAGCTATCGGTCTATGAATAAATATAGATTTTTACTTTTTCAGTTTCTTGCATAAAGTAAATATAAAAGCTAAAAAATGTCGAATAATCCGAACGAAAAACAACAGCAAACAAATGCGACTCCGGTTGTCGTTGCACCACCTCCGGTACACCAAGAACCGGAACTGAAGTACGCCAATGTGCTGTATGGTTTGGGCATCACAGAAGTTTTTCTTGCAATACTTTCATTTGCAATGTGCATTGCAACTTTGGCCATTGCTGGGGTTATGAAGACTTATACTTATACATACTTTGTGAGCCTTGGACTTACGGATACAGCTCAAGGAATATGGTGCGGAGCGTTCCTACTTGCATCTGGCATCCTTGGAATCCGTGCAAAGCAAAACCCGACACGATGTATCTATAATGCTAATATTGCCATGGGATGTGTGTCAGCTTTCTTCATGTCAGTGTTATTCGTCATGTCTGTATTGTCCGTAATGTCTTGCCGTCCTGTGTCAGATACTCTGGCAACCCTCATTCTTCACGCCCTTTTAGGACTCCTTGCTTCATTTTCCGGGATTCTCAATATTATACATCTCGCCTTTGCAGCAGCGGGTCAGTGTTGCCAGAATTCTCAAGTCAACGGGACCATGGTTTACCAACAGCAACAAATGGTACAGTTACCAAATGGACAATTTGTCCTTGCGAGCACTCAGAACTACCTACCAGCACCTGGGACATACCAGGCCGCTCCAGCACAAGTTACTCCTCCCCCACAGGCAGGGGGCGCCGTCTAGTGGGAAATCAAAAAGAAAACTTTTGAAACTATTTTCGAGAAGAAATAAACTGTTATATATATTGACTTTCGTACGAAAATACGGCTTTGTGCGATCTCCGCCCTTGTGACTTCAATCACATAATGAGTCCACATTTTGTTTTATTATTACTAATTTATTCATTAGGGGTGCCCAGTAAAAGTAAAGTGCCTTCTTTTTTATTGAAATGTCACTTTTTTTGTGTTCGTACCCCTCCCCTCCCCCGCCCAATTTTTCCCGATCTCAAAAATTACCTAATGAGATAAACAGAGAACGGAGAGGACGCACATAGTTTCTCTGAGTCACAAGCAAAGACCTTAACAAGGTACGTAGGTACTAGTTATTTGCCATGAGTACAGTAATCTGCGCCCAGGAAGTGCACGTACCAATGTGTTATATTATGTAAAGAACCGATACGCGGGGAAATAGTAAAATTACTAAACTAGGGAAAAGAAAATAACTGCTTGCTAATACTAATGTCTTATGCATTAAACCTCACGCGTGATATGACGTAAAATAATCTTATGGCTCAATAAAATATATGAGATTATTTGCCCCGGAACACATAGCCTACTACAATTGACCTAACCTATTATTTAGTGGTGGGGTGATAACAGTATAGTAGATAACAGTATTAGATAACAGCATTTCCTCGTGTTATTACAATTTTTGCAAATTTCTATTCTAACACAATCCCTTGATTTTGTTTACACAAAATCTTGGGTGCTCCCGAAGTATGCGAAACAAGATGGCGGACATCGGAACGCAACATGGGTAACAGGTTAGGGTTAGGCGATAATTTTTTTCCAATTTTCCTTATTTTAGTCCTATTATCAGTTCGAAGACTAGCCAAGAGCCTCCCGTATTATTTATACCTAAATTATGGCCTAACCCTAACCTAGTACACATATTACATTCCGATGTCCGCCATCTTGGTTCGCATACTTCGGGAGCCCCAAATCTTGACTTACTAACAGTTACCTACTAAGATGAGCAGTAAATTTTTTATGTAACTCCCCACTCCGATTACTTTATTTTATATCTAGCACTTCAGTTTGTTTATGATTAAACCTAAAAGTTTCCGTAATGTAGGACGCTTTGCCAAAAGTTATGTTCTTCCTAGAATATGTTCCAAATGTCGTGGGTTCTATATTCTCAGGGATCACTCAATATAACGCAATCACGCAATATGAGACATGAGCAAACTTATTAAGTGAACACCGCATCATGACATCGTTACTGACAGTATCTTTTTTATAATTATATTTTTTTTTACTTTTCCTTGATATTGCGACATTGAAACAGTAACCACAAATTTTTTATTGCTTTTACGAAAATGAAGAAAATTTATTTAACTATTGAACTTCTGTTTGTTTATGATTATACCCAAAAGATTCTGCAATCCAGGACCCTCTGCACAAAAGTTATGTTCTTTTTAGAATGTGTTCCAAATGGCCTGGGTTCAATTTTTCGGATCACCCCGCATTAAAAAACATTTTAGCAAAGTAAAAATAGCAAACTTGTTAAGTGAACACCGCATCATGACATCGTTACTTTCAGTGTCTTTTTTTATAAGCATAATTTTTTTACGTTTTCTTGATATTGCATCCTTGCCACGGCCTTGGAGTCGGGAATTAACACCCGGTCAGCTAATTCGTCATCTTTACTGAATAAATCATTGTGTTACCTTTTTTTTTCTAATTCTGTTACTAACTGTCAATTTTTGATGATTATGTACCATGTATTTTACTACTGGATTTTGAGGGTTTTTTTCATCATTTTTTAAAATGTAAATATCTTTTTCTCCAATAACTGATAAAAATAAAAAAGTCTGTGAAAGGCTTCTTTGAGATATCATTAGATATCGGTGGATGCTTGCACCTGGCCTTGTTCGGAGCAAATGGCGCAAGTAAGAGTCGTATTCAAAAAAAAAATACATACAAATGCTTTTATTGTGGACATGAGGCGAGAACGAGTCGGGGTCGGTGTTTAAGAATTAAATAGGATTCACATTGCGATCTAATCATATGACGAACCTTCTGTCCCGGTTTTCAGTCCCTCCCTGGCTGCCCCTCTGCTGCCTAGCACTGTTTCTTTCTATATATCGCCCCACGATCCCCCGAAGGAGGACCTTTTGCGTGTTTAACCTATTTCCTATGAATCACAAGACTAATTGGAATGCATGATTTAATGAATGAGATGAATAAAATAGAAATATTTACAAGAAATCAAAGTTTTCAAGTTGATAATCGGAATCAAAATTTTCTACAGACATTAGAAAAACAATAAATCAACTAAATCGTTCTTATTAAGGTGAAGGGCATTTTCGCTCTTCAGTCTATCCAGTGAATAAAACAAAACTAATTGAAGTGTATACTTTAATGTAGGAGTGTGCAAGAAGTGTTAATTCAAGAGGGCCAGATATAAATAAATAAATGGATGAAACCGCAGGTCGCACTTTTATTTATAACATATGCTTTCTAGTAGTTGTGGGCACAAAAATTTTGCTTATTAATCTTGTGAACTGGGTTATTTACACAATCTAGCTGTTAGGCATTGTTAAGTCATTGATAATAAATTGGACTCGGGTATAGGCTTCGCAACACAAAATGATTGGATTTACTCGCAAATGACGAATTGAACTAAATTAAAACTTGCTTGCGGGCCGCAATTCATTCAAAATGGACACTTCTCCACGGGCCGCATTTAGTCCGCGGGTCGCAGGTTGCACACCACTTTTTTGATGAATGAGATGAATAGAAGAGAAATATTTATAATAAAAAAAATTTCGCATTGTCATTTACATAAACACAAAGTATTTCGATAGTGGTGCATCGTGCTAATAATTAGGAATACAAAATTTTCTACGGGATACTCAGAAAACAATAAATTAATTAAATCTTTTTTACGGCGAAGGGCATTTTTGCCTTCAGCCTATCCAATGAATAAAACAAGACTAATCAAAATGCATACATTAATGAATGAGAAATCGATAAAAGAAAAATATTTACAACGGACTAGTGGTCCTCAAAAGGCGAGGCGCGCCCCGCAAGTGGGGCGCAGACAATTTTTTGAGAGGACATGAAGCTAAATAAAAATAAAAAACATTTATTAGATTTGATATTGCCCGCCTTATTTTGGATATTTACATTTCGAAACTTTTCATTAATAAGGTTCCATCCACGTATTTTCAACGTGTTTTTTGAATAAACATACCTTCGCCTTACTATCTGTTATTTGTAGCTTATTGTTGGGGCTCCCGAAGTATGCGAACCAAGATGGCGGACATCGGAATGTAATATGTGTACTAGGTTAGGGTTAGGCCATAATTTTATTCCGATTTTCCTTATTTTAGTTCTATTACGAATTCGGGGACTGTCTGTGTTAGCCAAGTGAATATACTCCTGCCTATAGGTTACAGTCCCTTTATACATCTTGATGTAAAGTAGGCGAACAAAATTAGTTACCTTCATATTGGTACAAATACTGCTGTAGCGCCTCACTTTTCAATAATATACAAATTCTGAATGAAGTAATTTACATACGTGTCTTGCGTGCACAGAATTAATACGCTGACCTTTTCATCAGAGCGTAGCCAGAAATTTTTTCAATGGAAAAGGAGGGGGGGGGGGAGAGGGGGGGGGGGGTGGTAGCATGGGTCGGTCCTGAAATTTTTATTTGCCAAGTTGAATTGGAACAGCTAGCGGGGACGATCCAACGCTGGAATACGCGTGTTTTTATTAGTCTTGGGGTCTAAAAAGCATTTCAAGCTACGGAAAATTGCTATCTATGATACAGAAAAAGGATTCTATTTTTTTCCCATTTTAAAAAGGGGGGTTCGACTCGCAAAACTACCCCCTGGTTACGCCACTGCTTATCGTGATTATAATTTATATTGTTTGAATTTAATAATTCACACACAGATTAGCGCAGGAATTGAGGGCGCTCCAGAGGTGTGTTTACTACCAATACGGAGGTAACTAATTCGCCTAATGTAATAAAGTTATGCAAAGAGACTGAAACTTATGGGCAGAGGGCGTGGCTAACACTGACAGTTGTCGAACTCGTAACAGAACTAACATAAGAAAAACGTGACCAAATTACGGCCTGACCCTAACCTGTTACACATACCACGGGACTTAAGAAAGTGCTTAGCAGTGGTTGAGGCCGACCCTGTGACTAAATTAGCGAGGTGGCGTGCTAACTGTCTGTCGTCTCTTATTGACCACGCTATAGACAGCATTCGAGCTACTCGGCTGCGAATCGTCTCCCATTCTACCGAAGTTGTCTCCATATATGGCATTTACCACGATTTCCCGAGTATTTGATTCTTCCGCCCCAGTTCTTCCGACATCCGGGTTGCGCGAGGTGACCTTCGACCTGAAGTATAATACATATCTCGTAAGTCATTTCTTTTAATTTTAAAATCGCGGCTCCATTTATTAAGACTTATCCAAGGCTTGTTTATGGCAGACTTGCACACAACAACTATTTGCCTCATTCCGCGCATATGCGCCAAACGTGTATTTTTAGTCACTGTTTCACCGGCATGCATGCAATTGCCTGAGTCTGGTCGTACGTAAGAGAAAAACTCGTAAATTAGGTCAATGGCTTACTAGCGTTCATGAGTATTTCCGTCGGTGCTAATCTGCGCGTTTCAGTAGGGTTACGTAAGTTTCAAACATGCAAAATCCTGTACTCCCGAAGATGTGAATCAAGATGGCGGACACCGGAACGTAGTATGTGTACCAGGTTAGGGTTAGGCCATAATTTTATCCCAATTTTCCCTATTTTAGTTATATTACGAGTTCGGGGACTAGCCAAGTGACTCCCGTAGTATTTGTACCTGAAATTATGGCCTAACCCTAGTCTGGTACACATAATATAGAGGCGCACATATATCAAATCAAACATTCAAAAACCAACTGAGATATGTCGCCAAAATCGCAGCTTGGCTTGGTGTTTATCGAGGCTCAAAGGTTATTTTTAATTGGTCAGAGTCGAATACTTTAAACATCGTTGAAAACGTATTTTTTTTTTTCATTCGAATCACGGATGAGGGAAGCCAGATTTATTAATATTATGGACAACGACGCCTCATGTATTAACAGCTTAGAAAACTCGAGGTAATCCATTACTCGACTTGACTCGAGTTTGTGGAGTTCTACCCAGCACAGGAAGTAGACTACAGCAATTCTCTTCCACAGAATTGTCGCACTTGTAATAAGGTAATCGACATAAAATTGCTTACCGGTTTCGCATAAATGCGACTCCGAACACCACCCAAGATACGACAAGTAAGGCTAAGGCGATCAAAAGTCCTACAGTCATTTCGATTTTGCCTTGGCACATCTGCGTCTCGCTGTCCGTTTTTACAATTTCTCCATTTGTCGACAATTTTTGAAAAAGTGTCGTGGGATCGTGAGAAGGTGTCGTGGGATCGTGAGAAGGTGTCATGGGATCAGGATTTGTGATGGTCGATACATCTGTCATAAAATTTGCATTTATCCGTATTATTGGACACGCAGTGGATCGTTTTGCATAATATTTGAATAATAATAGAATAGTGGCGATTCGGCAATATAAACAATGGCTATGCAACAATTTCGTCTCTGAATTTTATGAAAAGGCTTTTAATAATACCGAATTACTACCATAATTCTTTATGAGTAGCCTTTGGCATATCGTGGTTTCCCGTAACCACTTTATAATAATATGTTGCCCAACGTCTGCGTTGTTGGGTAAATGTTGATGATAAATGTAAAATTACCGGTACTTCCATGGTGTGTGTACCTGGTTAGGATTAGGCCATAATTTTATTCATATTTTCCTTATTTTAGTTTTATTACGTGTTCGGGGACTGTCTATGTTGGTTAAATGAATATACCCCCTGCCCATAGGCTTCAGTCCCTTTACACAACTTGATGTAAAATATGAGTACAAAATTAGTTACTTCCATATTGGTACACATACTTCTGAAGCGTCAAACTACCGGCCTATTTCTACGATAAAGGGCCACGCTTTTTATACGCTTTTCGATCCGAAACAGGCTCTCTACAAGCGGCCACTGATATCCTACGATATGTAAAGAGTTTTTTACCCGAGAAGTTTTATTGCAGTCTGTGATTTCATCATAGTTAACTCTAAGGATAACAACTGAAGATTTTGTAATGGGAAATTCAATCATCTTCAGAATTTTAACCAAGCACAAAATCACGATCAAAGTGGCTTTGCCGTACGAGTTTTGTCTGTAGCAATGTCATTCAGGTTGCGATTAACATTATACGTAATTATAATTTATAAAGTTTAAAAGTAATAACTTACACCTGGAATCAGCAATGAGCGTACGAAAATAGGTAGCAACGAACGAATGCCGCGCGGCGGTGTGGCTCATCGTGCTCAAAGTGACTATAAACCAAGTGAGGACATGCATTGGTAACGTTATAAGCGCTCGTGTGACGTCACACCAGCCATTTTCCAGAGTTCAATCGCTGTATGATCCTAACTAAGTGATTTAAACCTGCGATCGTTAAACTGCTCAATAATTCGGACCAAACTTTCGCAGCGGCAAAACGAATGAACATTCTTCTGAAAAATTAATTATCCGCAGATGTTTCTCGGATAACTCGGCTCGGCGGTATGGTCAGCATATACGAAGTTAAGTTTAAAGTCATCCAACTTCACTCGATAAATCAACAACCCAATAAGACCAAAATATTAAACAAAAAGATACACATTTTATTATTAAATTATTATGAAATTCCTTATGTAAGTATCGCTACTTGCACAGAACCTATTTTAACAAACTGACAGAACTACAATACAAATTATACTACAGAAACTTGCACTATTTTTGCGGTACATGTCATGATATTAAAATGTGCCTATTGCAAATTTTCAACAAGGTTACATTGCCAAAATAATATTAAAAAAATATACTACATGCATGGAATGAAGAATAACGGCGTATATCAAGTTTACAAGAACATCTAATAATCTGGAGTGTATAAAATAATATATTATCTTGACTTGAGCTCTTGCCGCAGGTTTACTAGCATACCGTTTTTCAATAATTTTATTTGTCTCCTCTTTTGCGTGAATATTTAACCTTAAATTGAGAAAACGTTTCAAAATTTTAAAAGCGATATTGTGGCAGGATGTGAAATTATATTTCAAGCAACTTTAAATGTCAGAAAAGTAACAGTCGAACATATATTATGGAAAGCATTAATATTTTCGCGAAATATAGTTTTTTACTCCGCGCAAAAATACGATTGCTTTTGTGAATGGGTGGCATAAATATTGGGTAAAACTATCAATTTCCAAATATTTATCAGGTGGGTAAGATCTAAAAAGAGTTAGTAACGATTGTGGTTATTCATCGGTATTGACACTTTCCATAGAAACAAACAAACAATTTGAACCCCGTGTCTTTATAGGGTTCCCCCGGAAACATCAAGGCTAATTTTTCACTGTTGGATATCGATAAAACTACAATTAAGTTTTATCAACGAGAACGTAGAAGACATGATGGCGTCGCTAGATCGCCTAGTAAATATTTTACATTTTCCGACGCAAAAGAATCGAAATATCCTGCCAATAATAAGTTGATAAGAGCTGCAACACCAGTCGCGGCGGCTGTTTTTTAAATTTTGTACCTTATAATGTACATGCTTCGATGAAATTCATTAGGCCGCACAATGTGCTAACCATGAGATCGTTTACATTCTATAATTTTTGGAGCAACTGTTGCAACAGCTCGTTAAATTAAAAAACATTTTTCCGAGAAAATTCATTTCATCAGCTTCTGGAATGATTAATGTAAAACGCAGGCTTTAAACTTCCGGCATGGTGTGAACAGGTATCATATTACCAGTTCAAATAGTATCTGGTTTAAACGTATGCATTAGGTTAATGACGTTTCACACTTGCGAAGGAAAGCGATATGTGATATGTGTTTTTCATACGGAACGTTGCGACGTAATTGCGTAACGAAGTAATTAGGGAACGTTTTTGTTTAACTCAAGTTGGCGCAGTGGACATGTCAAAAATTGGAGAACATTGAATGAAATAACTTATACAATTTTACTGGTGCACGACAAATTATATCTAATGTCGAAAGCTATTCTTATCCTCTACAAATGTGTGGATGTCATATTAGGTTAAAACAAGCAAATCGAAGTTTTTGTTATTTAATTTTCAAAAAAATTTACCGCTTTTCAATTTTGCCAATTTTTGTATAATAATTGCGACATTTTATCATAATTATTCTCTTAGATTGTCTTTCAAACAATATAAAATTATCTGCATATAATATGAGGTTCGTGAGATATGAGGTTTCAAAGTTGCATAACTCACACGGGATGATGAGATAACTATCTCAACTTTCACGAAACCGCACGATACCAGTATGCTTCCACGAGGCAAATAGCAAAAGAAAAAGTATGAAATTACCCGAAAAAAATGCGAAACAGTAAAAAATCTTTAAACAAATTGACGAACGAGACTTTGTGACGAAGCTAAAACAAACCGACAATGCCGCGTTCCCTCGATTCGCTGGACACAAAATGGCGTCCGATATGCATCATTGCACTCGGTTACTCCACTTGGTTTATAGTCACTTTGATCGTGCAAAGCGTCAGAAACACGCTCGCCAACGCACCACCTCTGATCATTCTGCGGGGGTACACAGATTCGAATCCCATGCGAGGATGATTGTGTGTGGGAGGATTGCAGGACTCCTCGCCGTCGTTGGGTGATTCACGTAACCGCTGATCTGCTACGGCTTCCTCCACTATCAAGTCCATGCTTCCGAAAAAACAAAATAAATAACTAATCCCCTATCCTACCCGGAATGGTAACCGGACGAGAGGACTTGGTTCATCATATGGTTAAACCGTCTTATCGGCTTTCTTCTCCCCGGGATAAATATGTAAATTCTATACTTGTCGCAGAACAATATTTTGGCGATTTGGTGTGACTTGCAGAACAATTCATGTGATCTACATCAATATAATTCGGTCATTTATGTTGCAAAATTCAAAGTAAGAGCGGTGGCTTAGTGGTTAAAGAGTTATCTCTACCAAGACGGGGCGCTGCACAATCTGTTACACATATTTAGGCCAAGCCAATACATAAGACCGTCCTGCTGACGAAGCGAGTAAAAGGGGTTACAGCAGTAAATGCGAGGAAATGATAGGAAGAAAAACAATATAACGAGATGGGAAGTAGAAAACCTACCGGTCACTATCGATGAGTTTCCTATCGGACATTCGAAATACCTGTATTGAAGTTGAATTACTTTTTCGCCGTCCTTCCATTTGTATATTTTGAGAGGAGTCGATGGCAATTTTGATAAAACGAACCACACGTATTTGTCGCATTTAAAACCATCAAAATTCGCTACAAAATCGAAGTGCTGTCCTATGTTACATCCAATCGGTTGGTAGAATAAACATCTCACTTCTGTCGAACAGATGGATTTCATTTCTGGAAAAAGGCCTTCGCATCATATCATGAAAAATCAGCCGAAATTCAGTTTCGCAGAAGCCATGATTAAATCTTTTAATTAGACTTGAACTTAATTCTACTAATTTGCCTCAAACGTTTGAATTTATATTAGAGCAAGAAAACAAGATGAAAATAGATTTAAGTATTTTAATGTGTAATTCTAGGTTAGGATAGATATAAGAATATTTTCTGCAGATGGGTACGCATATGAAGTGGAATTTATAGTATGTTCTGGTTTAAGATATAATAGATTGGCAGTAGAGTAAAGTATTAATATTAGGTGAGATTCATTCGATTGAGACACAACATTTTTGGGACGACAATCACCAAATCCAGACCTCTTGTCCAGTGGCGTGTCAGAGTTTTGATAAGATGCCCTATTTTCCTAACTTCAAAAATAGTTTGGGGGATAAAATAATTATAGATGTTGCTATACACGAGAATAAATAAATTGGGGGCCAAGTAATTGTGAAATGTTTGTTGTAGTACTATTATTTGAATCGTCAAACTAAACCACAAGTTCACCCCTATAACTTGCTGCCCCGGACGGCTGCCCCTCGATACACGCCACTGATTTTTACCTGGTAAGAATAAATCCTCTGTACAATCCTTCTGTTCCACCGATCTGTACATAGAAACGTTGCTTATATAGATAAAAAGTAAATAGGCGCCGCGGGTGGGGTTCTTGTTATTGCGATCAGTTTGACTGAAGTCGTTGTATGTAACATTCCCTTGCATATCTCGTAGCGTCTTATATTTCCATGGATCAATAGCACTAGCCCAAAATGCAAGAAATGCTGAAAAACAAATTGTGCTATAGGACATAAGAGGCATAAAATGGTAGGCAGGAGGTTGGCATAAAATGCTGCTTACGGAAATAAGGTTGCCCACCAGAGGCAGCAAAACCAGTTTTCTGGGTTTCCCCAATTACGCGTCTATAAGTACTTCCTATTGGTTAGGTTCAACAAGTTTTGCATATGTCATTTCAAACCCCCACCTGGTTACGTCATCCGATAGAGCCTTCAAAGTATACGGATGGTCGTCTAAAACAGTGGTTCCCAAACTTTTTTGGCCATCGCCCCCCTACACTAGTTTACACAACTTCATCGCCCCCCGGCACTACAAAAAAATGTAAAGTCAGAAACGAATATATTACAGACCAAATAAGAAGACAAATCATAGTTTATGGTGTTTTTTAATGAGATGGATGAGCTTGGTGTTCTTCAGCAAGTTTTTTATTATATCTGAAATTACCCCGTTTACTGATGAAAAGGCGATTTCGTTGTTTCGATAGCAATAGTAGCAAGGCTCAAAAAAACCTTTTCACCATAATAATAGGTCGGAAATGAAAGAATCCAGGGTTCTACCTCCTCAAAAACCGCCGTGTACTCTTGCCTTATAGCATTTCACTTCCTAAATTCACCCCATTTCACATTAAAATAATGAAAACAAAATTAATTTTCCCAAAGTTAAAATGATGATTTTCGTACATCTCATTATTCCTACAGCCTGATGACCTGCACCAAAATACTTCGGTAAAATTCATCCCCGATTCCTCATCCTACCACGACCTCCAGTCCGATCACCAGTCCATAGAATTAATCAGCTATTTGTTTTTGGATTCATGAACTTGGATGTGGAAGTAGCTATGACCGACTATCGACTACGGCCCATGGGTCGGCAAATTTTATGTCGTTCGCGAGACAAAATTTAGGGTTGCTAGTCTTTTGCGGGTCCCATATATTTTTTAAAAAGTAAAAACGGAACCGCGCGCGAAAACTGCGACAATTCGTGAACTCAACTTAATCATCTTATTAAAAAAATATTACAATGAGATTTAATGTGACACTGTCTTGTTGCTGAATCACGCTTGATAGCTTTACGACGCCAAGATTGGAACATTTTCTAAATGGGCTAATCCCAGTTCTTTGTAATGTCTCCTTTTTCGAAAATAATTGTTCGCACAAGTATGTACTTCCAAACATCTAAGTGAATATTGCATGGTTTGTGAAATTTTAATAAAGATTTTCTTTAAGAAGATACATTCTTAGCAAAATTACGCAGTGATGAATCTCTCGAATATAATATGAAATTCATTTCCGTATAGCATTGCAATATATTCGAATATTTACTGCGCTATTGAACCCTTGCCCTCAACATCAACTTTTTTTCTTTGTGTTTGTCTCACGATAAATTCTTTTACGTAAGTTAAGGTGATTTACTCCTCGAGCGTAGATTATAAATAAAATAAATTCATCGTCAAAACCGCCGTTTGAATGTTTACCCGAACATAGACTTCCTTGTTTACATCGTGACATTGACCAATCAGCAAAATGCAAAAAAACGTAACAATACCCCCTTTCGCATCCGCTCAGACACACTCACTCAGACAGACTTTCAGGCGTGGTCGTGAACATTTCTCATTTTCCCGTTTTTGGATTATATTCGTTAGTTTTTAGTTGTTTTTCGGAAATTTGAATATAAATCATATACGTCAATGATTACTTTGTCTTCCCATGAGTTTCAGTTTAAATACAGTAATCAAAAATTAGAGTAGAAATAGTTGTGATAGACTAGGCTAAAATTCGGTATATCGGTTCTTTCAAAAAACAGATTGTTGAATGATATGAATTATGATGATAGTTTGAAACAAATACCCCATTCTACACAGGCAACAACTCGCAAAACCACTCTTAAAATAAGCACCGAAAATTTTAAAATGGTAAAGTATAGGAAAAATTTTCCGCGGTCAAAGGTCGGGGATAGGTCCATTCAGTGAATCGTCCCGGGCCAGATTATTTTACTCCGGCCGTATTTTGCCGACCACTGGGATACGCAAACTACCGTACCTTACTGTGGAGAGAAGTCCAGCAATCCTTTCGCGTGTGATAATCGACCACGAGATTCAAGCCTGTTAATGCATACAGAGTACAGAATTAAGTGCACTGTGCTACGAGCAAAAACAGGTTTCGCGAAATCGCCCCCTTCGACTTTTTCGCCCCCCTCTGTATCGTTTTCGCCCACCGGGGGGAGATATCGCCCACTTTGGGAATCACTGGTCTAAAACGCGCAGACGATCATCCAAAATCGAACAAGCTATTTCTCTCTTAGATACAGATATGAGAGAGATCATTGGCGTTAGTGAATTCATTATAGTCGGTACAGATGCCATTTCGGGCGATCGTAGCTATATTTTAGCAAGCTCTATGGCGTGATTGTGAAGTCGTAGTGACTTTATTTTTGAACGACGTAGTTGTTTATGACCTTTTACGCCTACTGGCACCATACTTAGGCCCATTGGTGGATTCAAGAGGTCTGCAGGGGTTCGCGCGATCCCATCCTTGAATGTTGTAACAATTAGCGAACCCGTTCGGTTACGGAGTAATAATTTTTGGTACTCCCGAAGTATGTGAAACAAGATGGCGGCCACCGGAACGTAGTATGTGTGCCAGGTTAGCGTCAGGCCACTATTCTAGGTACAAATAATAGTAACTCCTTTTGTACCAGGCTGCTTCTTCACTCATTGACTATGTTCGAAGAGGTATTTTTGGCGCTCCAGAAGTATGTGCACCCAGATGGCGCACAACCTGATAACTCTGACTTGGTACACATACTATGATCAAGTTGTGCGCCATCTTGGTTCTCATACTTCGGGAGCACCATTTTTAATACAATTATTGTTGCCTTCTAAATTTGGCAATTTAGATAGTAATTAAACTTACCATACAATATCACAAGAACTATTTCTTTCATGTCTTTTTGTATCCTGGTAGGTTCCAAAATAGATAAGTTTGCACCAAAACCAATGCCAGTTCATACAGGCTACTTAGATTTAATCGAGCATGTAAAATATTAAAAAAATATAATGATAACGTGAGATAGATGGAGAGTATTTTAGGATTAGAGTCGAAATTTAGTGTTAGTGCTAACCAAAAATAAAACCCGATTACAATCAGTTAAATAACGCCCGTACCGGATTGGCGAAAATTTTGACTTCGGACACCACGCTGACAAAAAATTTATCACGAAAATTTACATTAGATAGCCAATTTCGTTTCAGAATTTTAACACTGACTTCGAAAGTCTGAAATAACGGCACCGGGGAGCTCAAAATCCTGGGTATTTGGAAATACGATATCGATCGTATAAGGAAATCACAACAGCGTACAAAGTTCTGATGACTGAAATAAACTTAAACAGTAAACTAAGCGGGTCATATTACATTTTGAAAACGAAAAGTGGAAGCCGAATAAGTAATATTTTGAGTTAAGATATAAAATTATTTCTGAGTAATTTTTTGCAAGAATTGCTCAAATTCGCGGAAAACGGAGACATGAAAAGTATAGTTGATTCCACATATAATTCGGTCTTGCGTTCTGGCTTCCTGTATATATATATATAACCTTGAACAGTAAGTCAGAGTAATCATATGAAGTAGAATATTTGTATCTTCCTCTCTCAATGTACTTTATGCTGCGACAAAAACTAATTTATACCTTGAAAGCGATAACCACGCGAAGACTAAGCGCTGAGCAAATTGACCCCGATTGATTTAATAGTTTTCACCGAAACTAATTTAAAATTTGGTTTCTATTTGTTGGCTCTTTATTATTAAGCGTGGCAAATAAACAACAGGTAAAAACTAGCTAATTTCATAAAAAAATCGATTTAAATTCGGAGGCTCGGGAGAGGGACCAATCACGAAAGTTTGAGAAACACTTAAGTACGCCATCGCGCCAGCCACGACTTTTCCTCTCCTCAGCACGCTACTGACTCGTTTA